TCAACAATCAATATTATCATATTGAGTAATCACTATCACAACAATCAAAGCAACCCTAGAGTAATTGCTACATCAACAAACAAAGTATCAATGTATAAAAGTTACCATGTAGAGTAATTGCTATAATCAAAGTTACTATGTTGAGTAATTGCTATTTCAACAATCAATATTATCATGTAGAGTAATCACTATCTCAACAATCAAAGCAACCCTAGAGTAATTGCTATATCAACAAACAAAGCATCCATTTATAAAAGTTACCATGTTGAGTACCAATATCTTAACAATCAAAGTTACCATGTAGAGTAATTGCTATAATCAAAGTTACTATGTTGAGTAATTGCTATTTCAACAATAAATATTATCATGTTGAGTAATCACTATCTCAACAATTAAACTATTGAGGGTAAGCACTTTTCATTAATTAAAGTAACCATGTAGATTAATTGCTATCTTGACAATAAAAGTTACCATGTTAAGTAATTGCTATCTCAAAAATCAAAGCTACCATATGGAGTAATAACTATCTCAAAAATCAATATTACTATGTATTCACTATCTCAACAATCAAAGCAACCCTAGAGTAATTGCTATATCAACAAACAAAGTATCCATGTATAAAATTTACCATGTTGAGTAACCAATATCTTAACAATCAAAGTTACCATGTAGAGTAATTGCTATAATCAAAGTTACTATGTTGAGTAATAACTATCTCAAAAATCAATATTACTATGTAATCACTATCTCAACAATCAAAGCAACCCTAGAGTAATTGCTATATCAACAAACAAAGTATCCATGTATAAAAGTTACCATGTTGAGTAACCAATATCTTAACAATCAAAGTTACTGTGTAGAGTAATTGCTATAATAGAAGTTACCATGTTGAGTAATTCCCATCTCCACAATCAATGTTACACAGTCCTCTCCAAGAAATTTAATAGGGTTTTATGTCTTACTTTTATGCACCTATTGGGCTAATGACGATGGTCAGCAGTCAAAGAGTAATGACCAGGGCTGGGTATTGATTACCAAATTTAGATCGATTATTTAATGCAAACAGACAAGTCTGGAAAATATGACCAAATCAGAAGCCCTGTTCCCATTTATGACAAAATTTGTCTTTACCCACTCCTAAGGATATGATGTTGGTTTTGAATCTGTGATATATATGCTTACCAAATAAGTAAACCACTAATAGAGTCTTACCTACTCATCACAAAACATACTCATTTGTAGCCCTTTAATTCTCAAAATCCTATTAAACATACTCAAAAATAATAAGTAGTCTAAAGTAAATAGGTCAGTTAATAGTAATTTTCTTCTATAAACCATCTTGTTTATAGATAAGATAAATACTAGAATCATGATGGCAACCAGACTAATATACCGTAAAGCAGAGTTGCAGGAATCTACTCTATAGATCTACCTCTCTATTAAATCACATTATCAAGGTGTTAAAATCAATGATTTTCAAACGTGATACTCTTTTCATTCAAATTACACAGAAAAATAAAAAAGCACACCTTATGAAAGATTTGCTACTCTTTTATCAAAATTACACATTATAAATTTTATCAGGTACTTACCGTTCTTAAGAACGACTCTTGTTCCCCACCTCCCTCGGCCGGGTCCGCCATCTTGCCTTCTTAATGCAAGGAGAAAAGGTAAACCTATTCTCTCACTTGGAATAATTCCGTTTCATTCAGTTAATTGTCGACGGTTCCTTGATAATATATGTAATCCTTACATTAAACAGTCATAGTTTCACAAAAGGTGCTTGAAAATCGTCCGATCGAAAGTAAACTTGATGTTATTTAATGTTTTAGACGAGCATAGCCGTCGACCTTCCTTTATATATTTAGAATAGAGATGGAGCTGTTAGTCTCATTTGTAAATCGATACCTTCACTCCTCTACGTAGAACATAGATGCAAATACTTGTACTTGATTCCACGCTTACTCACCGGTCGGCACATGTAAAACGGTTTGGTTTACCTTGCTGGCGTGTGCCAAGAATAAACTTAGAGGAGGCTGAACTGCTAACCTTTCAGAAATTTGGTCTGGAACTTATCAGTCTCAAATAAAGTCACGTGATAATAGGCCACTACTTTCACTTTGTTTTGATAACTGTCATGCCGTGCCATAACCTGTTTCAGCGTCCATGTCATGTCATTCGACCAATTAGAGGATAATCAGTGATTATAATTACTGTGTTCAGCCAACCTTATCCATATATGAATTCTGTTCGTATAGGCAATGTAGATCACTCAGATAGAACAGAGTAAACAGCATGACTTTAATCTAGACTTAAGCTAACTAAAGTTGCGTTCAGCATTTGAGTAGAGTTGCTACTCAGGCTATCGATCCAAATCGGACTGCATTGTAACAGTTCAGAACAGACCGAAATTGCTCTATACAGACAGGACAAGCTGTCGAGCTAAATTATTTAAAATGATAAAATATTCCGTTTCAATAATATCTGTTCGATAAACTAGAGTCTCTCTACTGAAACCAAAGAAAAAGCAGGCCTACTAATTTTCTGACATTGCAATTATGATCAAGAGATTGATGTATCTAAGAAAATAATTTCCTATCCACACCGCCGATTGCCCGGTTAATGATCCATGAACTAGGCTACACACATTTCGTCTGTACATTCTGACCACGGAAAACTACCACATTGTGTCTAGTATAGATCTGTAGCCTACCACGTAGGCGGGCAAGATATAAAACCTGGTTCGAAATGGTTTCCTTATGTAAGTTATGCTATCTTATGGGAACAACGTATATATTTACACATTGGTTTTGAAAAAATAAATGTCATTCCATATTTTTTACATTTTTATTATCATAATTAGTACTTATATTAAATTATACCATATACACAATGAATATATACAAAATGTGGTCTAGGTGAATACATTGTGTCATTATACAAAAACCTACTCTAAGAAATAATAAAAAGGGACAATTATTATTTTTAGTTGAAAAGATTCATGAGAAGGAAGGGGTTCATTCCCATACCGCCTCTCATACCACCCATACCACCCATGCCACCCAAGAAAGGTAACATTCTATTGTCAATATCGCCTGATAAACTAAGTAAAGCCATGGTACTTAAACCACCACCTTGTTGTGGTACAAGTCCACTCATTCCACCTATTCCACCAAATCCGGGAAGCTGTTGTTGGACTCCGAAATTCATCTGGTTTCCATACATGTTATAGGGATCTAAAATGAATTATAACTATTAGTTGAAAAGTTTGGAAAGTTTATGTTATAATAGCTATGGCTAACCGCAATGTTACAACCTTAATATCCTACTATTTTATAGTGAAATAAATTTAGATATCGCAAAATAACTATTGTAAGAGATGATATAGCACCGAAATTAGTCTGTTGGGAAATGTTTAGAATATGATTATGGCACCACCATTATTTATTCACCATCCGATGGTATCATAGGTTTACAATTAAAGATCTATCGAAAATAATTTGATATACTTACTGTAATTCTGGGCGTATGTTGTCATCATGACAACGGACATCAAAACAGTTGCAAAGACAATTTTCATCATTTTGATATTTTGTGGTTTAAGTTTGACTGAAAAAAAAAGACATTTTATTATTCTACACTCACATGTAAGTTTTAATAAAAGCCGTTCGTGGATATAACCTCTCATCCGTTTTTTTTAAAACTTGGATAGCATCAGGCCACCCCTAAAAATATTGTCCCCCCCCCCCCCCACCCCTGACTTGTTAAGTAGCTATTGGTGAGTGGTTGAGCCCTCCGCCAAAAAATTGCCCCCCTCCCCCCGAGACCCCGAGCTGACTCCATAGCACTCGGCATACCAATAGTTGGTTGAGGAGCTGTTGCCGTTAGTTTACTAGATTAAATTATTTCCTTACCTGAAACGTTGTTCTCTTGTAAAGTGTAAAGTGGCTTGTTCGAATCGATAATGCATCTAGTCCAGTTGGGGTGTCTTATATAGGAAAAATTGACACGTTTTCTTTTGTTGTTTACTCAAGGTTATGAAATGTTATATGATTGTTTTGACAATTTTTGTCATATTTTGATGTATATATGAATACTTATGATGTACGAATTTGATGGACCAGGAGCAAAGGTTCAATGTCTAATAATAAACTCACGAATCTTATGTAGCCTAATTAGGTAAGAATTATTTTCAAGGTCAACAGGTAAGTTAAGAAAGAAAAAAAAAATATATTACCGTGGTTGAGCTTGCACTCAATAAATTGAATTTATTGGAATTTTTACAATATGGCTAGACATTACAAACGAGCGAACATTTCGGCGATGTCTTTTGAGAAAAATATTTCCTTTTAATTTCTTTGATAATGGACTGAAAATGTGAACAATAGAGAATTTTTCTGAATGATTGTCCCATTGGCCATTACTAAGGTAGAAACCTCCTTGATTTAAACACCATTCAAATTTCATAATGTATTTCCTTGAAAACTGAAAAAAAATCATCCGTTAGTAAGCACAATCTGCAGCAATTTATTTCGGCACGTACCCAGCCTTAGAAAGTAATATACATGTGTATATTTTGTTTAGTTGCAGTAATGGTAAAAGGATTTTTACAGCGGAGCAATCCATTTCTTCGGGGCGGTGGGGAGGGGGGTTGACCCCCTGTAGCTGCGGGATTTATTTCAAAATTAAATCATTTTGTTATTATGGATTCGGTGATTCTTTTAATATAGCCTAATATAGAGATTTGTAGTTGATTACTTAATGTTGTCTTATTTATAGAAAATTATGCCCCTTGTAGAACTCTCCACGAAAAAGTCCAGATTAGTCTATCACACTTATTTTTATTTTTATTATTATAAACAGTGCAACTCCCCCTAATTATTTTCCCCGATTAGTTAGAGAGCGAAATGATGCCAAAGACTGGCATGTAATTTTGTTGAATAGAAAGTCAAAAGCTGTTTCCATCGAATCAGTTTTTGGCATCTGTTGGATGTGGGACTATGGAGTCTGTGACAGCAATCAGTGATCGTTTATCCATCCCAAAACATCACAGTCGATGTCTGTCAAAAACAAGAGTTGTGTGCATTGTAAGTGAAGGTTTCATATTATAAAGAGCATTCTTTTTAAAAACAATATTCAGTGCCATTTAGAGCTTCATTGTGTCATGTCATATCATGTATTATGATCCGTCTGAGTGAATAAATGGTATTTTAACATGATCGAAGCAATGGTGGGCCTGATTCTAATAATTAATGGCCCCCTTTTCACTAGCTACATAGCCTCTTGAAAGCAATGAGACAGTTTGGAACCAATCCCCTACTATTTAATCCTCTATATTATACCCTTGCCATAGACTGCCATGGTGCACATATGGTTCCAAACTGGCTAAGAGGCCTGCTTAGTTGATTGATATAATTATAAATGTGAATTAATTTTATTAGTGGATTATAAATTCCAGGTACATAATGATTGGTATAAGAATCTAAGGCAAGGAAAATTGATTCAAATTCCACCTACTGATCATTTTACCAACTTGGAAGCTGAAAGATTATTGGCTGGTTCATCATTGACATTACCAGAAACATGGCTGAGACTTACAATCAAAGTTGTTCAAAAACAGAATGTCTTAGTTGAAAGGTTTGATTTTGAATATCTTTCAAGAACAGTTTCTGATACCAAAATTCTGCTACAGCTTATATTCTGTAACTGATTCTTTTTTCAATTTTTGAATTACAACAGACATATAAAATTATTATAAATGCATTTCTTACACGATGTTATCGGGTACATATTTTAAAGATAGACCATAATAAATAAATATTTTGATATCTTTTTATTTGTAGATTAAGAGATGACAACCTATACAACACAAATGTAGCAGATAATATATTTGGACATTTGAACTATGTGGCTCATGAAAATTTCAATACACAATGGCGAAATGCATTCCATTTATATAAAGGATCAAAAAAGAGTGCTCAAATCAAAGAATATGTTAAGGTAACATCCTTGTTAGCTAAATTTATGAATTTGTGATAGGAATGTTTACATCCTAAACGGTAAGGCACATTATTGTCAGGCACATTATTGTCAGGGCCATTGACACAGACTAATTAATTCAGGCAAGCAAGACCTTTTTCTTTATCCTATTCCAATGACTTGGACACTTTAATGGGCTCATATATTGTTATCGCCCCATCGGCCGGTCCGTTCATATTTGGCGCATGCTCATTCTACAGGCTACTCTTTTGGTTTTTATTTTGTGGGTCAATGTCAATATGAAGATGATCCCTATTGATTTTCAAGATGATCTGATAATTTTTCACCAATTTGTCGTTTCCAACTTAGTGTATTCACTCTATTAGCCATATAGTTCAACTTTTGTTCACTCTTCAATCAACAATTCTTTATGAATTCTTTTGATATTTATATGCCCACACGTAGTATGGAAGCATATTGTTGTCCATTCGTTCACACTTGGCTAGTGCTCATTCTACAGTCTACAAACAATGATTTGTTCTTTCAATCAAAGCTGCTGGTGGGTGTATGTCACCTTGGTTCGCAAGGCTATCTTTTCCATAGTATCTTCACCAAACTGTAATCACATGCAGTGAGTCTATGTATTCTTGCAACTACTGCTTGCATTAAATTTTTCAAATGGATTGATGGAAATTGTTTTCTCTATTACAGTTTAATTCATCAGTCCATCAATATATAGACAAGTTTAAACCCGAGATTATTATCAACTTAGATACCACTGTATCAACTTTACCATTATCAACTAAAAAACATAGTGAATTACACCCTAATCTAGTTCCTTGTAAAGTTTTAATAGAAACAGAGACCCATTTCTTCTTTATACAACCATACATACCATATACATTACATAATCTAGTGTTTTATAGCCCTTCTGTATTGACCACATCTCCAGCTAATACTCTATTTATACTCTATCAGCTATTACATTCTATGCAATGTCTGCATCAACATGGTTTATCGGCTAAGGGAATCAATTTATGCAATATTCTGATTGATAAAAACTTATGGATATCTGTGACCACACCCCAAATCAAAACATGGATAAAAGAGAAGCCTGGTGGTAAAGAGGAAATTGAACCACACAAGGACCAAGATCATACTGCTCAAGTTCCAAAAACAGTCTTAAGATTGACTTCTGAAAAAGAAGATTTAGTGACAAGTGCTCAGGATTACTTAACATCATACATTTACAAGCAATATTCAATCAGTGATCTTCCAACAATAGTGGATAATTGGGTACATAAAAAGCTGACTAATTTTCAATATCTTATGATTTTGAATCATCTAGCAGGTCGTGTAATGAATGATCCTAACAATCATCCAGTGTTGCCATGGGTAATGGATTTTACTGGCCATGATTCAGGGTATCGAGACCTGACTATGTCTAAGTATAGAATAAACAAGGGAGATTATCAATTAGACTTTACATATAACTCTATGATTGGTTTAAATGAAAATGGTGAGCACATTCCACATCATGTGTCCGATGTCTTATCAGATATTACATATTTTGTTTATAAGGCCAGACGAACTGAAAAATCTATATTATGTACTCATGTCCGCACAAATTGGGTACCACATGAATATCCTAGCAGTATGCAGAGAATGATGGAATGGACGCCTGATGAATGTATACCAGAATTCTATACAGATCCTAATATATTTGTTTCTATCCATGAAGATCTACCAGATTTAGAAATACCATTATGGTGCAGTTCAACGTATGATTTTATCACAAGACATATGGCAGCTTTAGAAAGTGAGGCAGTATCAGAAATGTTACATTACTGGATTGATCTGACATTTGGATATAAGGTAAGATAGCAGTTTATGAAGAAAACATATATTGCTGATTTGTGCAAAGAAATGACTATGAAAGCTTTGCTTTGACAAATACCAGTTTTTCCTCCTGCGGATGGTCATAGACACAATGTCAGGTTTCCTTTGCCCAGCATTCTATATTAGTACAAGATCTTATAAAACTATTATTTTTTATTTTAGTTGAGTGGCTCGGCAGCAGTTAAGTCTAAAAATGTTTATCTTCAATTAGTTGATAACCATAAAACTATCACAAACCATGGAGTGGTGCAACTATTTACTCAACCACACCCTCATAGACCCTCCTCAACCCAACCATTTACCTCTGTTCTTCCACCTAAAATATACAGAGAAGTTTTACCAGCTCAAGTAGGTTTTATATCTGAATACCTATTCTTGTTTCTCCATATACATGTATATATAAAAGCAGTATTTGTGCCTAATGCTTATTAATGGACATATTGAAAGTCTGTGCTTTGAAATGTCTTTATCCAAGTTATCCTTTATAGTTAAATGTGATTCCCCAACATACAATCTAAAAATATTAAAAAAGTGCATGTAGATCTTGTCTAGGAATGTATCAATTCAAACCAACAAATTAACATATTTTTACTAACACTTGTTTCTTCACTCAAGAGTAAAAACAAAAGGTTAAAGATCTCACAAATAGAGTCATCATAAGAAAAAAAATTACATCCCATTAGCCTACGTATTATTATAACAAGTTCCAAACACATTAAGAGATAAAAAATGATGATTATTAGGTCTAATGCTGTTAACTTGAATAATATTATGAAAGGATAACACTGTAAAAAGTTGATTAATTGAGTTGTGAATTTTTGACAGGGACAAAAAATTACATAAAAGATGATGTTTAACTGTCATTTTTGTGTGTAGTGTAATTAAGATAGGTATGGAAAGGAATTTAAGGGTCAAATCAGGGTCATATTTTTGTCTGATGGACATGCTTGTTTGTGCACTTATTTACGTAAAGAAATGTGGTAAATGAAAATGATTTTTTGCATTAAAATCTTGGCATTGCTTCCAGATGATGCAGTTACATCAAACATCTGGTAGTCAAGAAACTGTTGTCCATGCTCTAAGGTAATCCAATTAATGTTATTTGTAATTTGGAATTGCCTCTGTCAAGAAACGTCCCACAGGAGCATTTTTATACGCCCACAAATATATATTGGGCGTATATTGCCATCACCTATGGCGATCCGTTTACATTTGGCTCGTGAACACTCTACAGGCTACAATTCTTTACAGATTGTTTTGATTTTTACTTTGTAGGTCAATGTCATTATGAATATGATCCCTTTCGATTTTCATGATGATCGGATAATTTTTCACCAAACTATCGTGTGACTTTGCGTTTTCATTCATGCAACTCGTGCTCACTCTACAGGCAACAATTCATAATGGATTATTTTGTTTTTTATTTAAGGGTTAATGTCATTATGAATATGATCCCTATTGATTTTCGTGATGATCTGATAATTTTTACTCACTCTTCAGTCAACAATTCTTATATGCTCACACGTAGTATGGAAGCATATTGTCATCCTTCCGTCTGTTCACAATTGGCTCATGCTAACTGTACAGGCTACAAACAATGATTTGTTCTTGCAATCAAAGCTGCTGGTGGGCGTATGTCATCTTACTTTGCAAGGCTATCTTTCACTAATTCTTTAAAGTCTTTATTTATTACACCATCAAAGTTCCCCATATTTTGGAAATAATTCTCAACCTGGCAATGCCCCTGAACCTTTATCGAATTTTGCAAAGGCCTTGATGGGTTAGTAAGAATCTGGTAGTGGTATGACACTGATAGCATGACAGTTTGAAATCAATGTGATGTCTGAAAAAAATAACTCACTATATTTTGTTTTCCTGAAAACAGTAAGTTGTGGAACTGTAATTATGTTATTTTAGATCCATGGAAGTAGTAGATTTTATTGATAAAACCAGACCAGAAGATTTTGCTATACAATTACCAAATAATTATACTAATATCTTACAAGCTTTAGATGATTATGAAAGTCAGCTAAATTTCTCTACTAAAGTTCTTCAACATAAACTATCAACAGATGATAGAAAGGTATTACTACAAACATTTCATAATGTCATCACAATAGTATGTTGAGTTGCCACTAGGTGTTCTATAATTTTGCATAGCACTTGGTCTTTGTTTTGCCTTTCTATTAGGAGGATTGATATTTGGTGAGGAGCCAGCAGGGTATGCTTACTCTTCTAGACACCTGATGCTACTCTTCATTATGAAATATTTCTTGCTTGATACTTCCTCATATGAACAATTTATTTGCTGTTACCATTGTATTGCAAAACTTCTGTTTTGAATTTTGGGTATTGTTTTGCTGTTCAGATCATTAGTACTTGAGATATTTTTAATCTGTATAATAATCAGGCACATGCTCTTGCTTAAATTCCGTTATATTCTAGGATGCATATGTGGCTATAGAGAATGACCATGGCCAAAAATTACTAATTCTAACTGAATTAATTTAAACTGCATGATTTTATGACACGTTTACAGAGATCAAAGTATCCAGAAGATGAAGTGAGAGACATAATAACAGAAGATTTAACAGTGTTTATTTGTAATATGTGTGAGATTTTCCTGTCTCCTAAATTAAGAGCATTAGGATGTAATGTACCACTGTTAGAACGTTATAGATTGATTCAATCACTTTGTTCAACAGAATGTATTGATTTACCTAGGTGAGATGGAAATTCTTTTTAGCCAAAATTTGCGAAAAATCTTTAAATGTTATAAAATTTTAATATATCTGTTGAATTATTAAAAATCATAATCATCAAAACAATAGAAATTCTTATTCAAATGTGTGCTAATTTTCAATCCAAATGAATAGTGTAACAGTCCATATTTTAACTGTTATATCGATGTATTTAAGTTCTGTTATTCATTTTTCAGAACATACCGAAAAGCTGCATCGTTTTTGCTATCAACTGTGATTATAGATGAAAGTGATCATGAGAAACCTAAATTACAATATTTAACAGACAATGATGATAGTATACCTCTTCCAACACCCAGTTATTTATTACAACCTTTTACTAATATACTACCTTTCCCTGATTACTTTGATAAACTATATTCTTGTCTGGCAGAACTCAAACAGAAAGATGATGAGATTGAAAAAATACATTGGAGTATGCTTACTCTTGCTGAAAAGAACTCTTTAATAAAATCTTTACAGAGAGAAAAGGTTCCTCTTCTTGATAAATTTCTACAAAAACATCATAAAAAGCTTGGGAAGCAAGGTTTAAACATCTTATCTCCATATATTGAAGAGCTGTTCGAGAATGAGATCACCACTGTGCAAGCTGCTTGGTGTTTTTTAAATACAATGAGTCGAGAATTAGGACGAGAGGAAACTACCAAAAGACTCATGCCACATTTGATTAAGTTATTTAGTGGTGAACATTCCACAGCAAAACATGTCAAGCTCTATCATCGACAGTTTTTAATGCAGTTGATTGTAAGACTAGGACTTAAAACGTTTATTGTGCACTTTGCTACACTGTTAGTTGAGGCTGTATCAGGCTTTAAAGATTTCTATGTGCCCAGTAAATTTTACAATGAGGAGTTATTGGAAGATCCTAGTCCAGCTTGGGATACCAATATGTCACGAAATAGATCACTCAACGAACTGTCCATAGGACAACCTAATGAATTTACATTCCAAAATGATTATGAAGAGACTACACATATAGATGGTGATGACAACGAAGATGAGTTTATAACTGATAATATGTCTATGGAAGATGAAGATGAAACAAGACCAATGTCTGGTGATTCTACTAGTATAGGTAAACAGTCAACTAGTAGTGATATCAGTGATATAGTGATATCAACACAAGATGATGAAGGAGACGACACTCCTCCTATATTCGGCAGTGTAGCATCAGTCCATAGCATTGCACATCTTCTAGAAGAACAGTCCAGACAAAAACTGTTGTCTATTGAAGAAGGTGATACTGGGTCAGTGAGTCAGAATCTAACTCCTTCTCAATCAGAGAGACAATCAGGTGCAGAAAGTCAAGATGAAGACGATGAACCTAAACCTTCTTCACAATTCTACCTCTCTGTTGAAGAAACAGAAGCCATCTGGCACACTAGTCGTAAAGAAAGCATGGTACGCAGTGAAACTGAAGATCTCATGATGAACATATCAACATCCAGTCCTAAAGATATTCTTAATATACGTGATGTGGCCATGGAGAGTGTCAAGTGGTTGTGCCATAAATTAGGACCTGTACTAACAGCTAAACATTTGTCTCGTAATTTGATAAGAATGATCTCCCTTTGTTATATTGGGGATGAACAACTGCAAAATTTAGAAAAATCAGGTAAGGAGATTTCTTCTATTCTTATACACAAAAGGTTCTTATAACTGATACTTGTGCATATGAGCAGTCCTTAAACCTAATGATTAGTCTTTGAATTGGGTTGATATGATTTGTTTTGATGCTTATTTGTTCCCCATTTTCAGATAATCCTGATTTAAAATCCTCGCGTTTAGTTATTGGTGATGAACACTGTATAAAGATACTGGATTGTTTAGGATTTGTAGCTCAGTTATATGGTGAACAAGTTATATTGTTACAATACATACCTTGTATTGTTGATTTGGTGAGTAGACTTACCAATTAGGAGTCCGTTTCAATCTTCATTGTCAATTGTATTAAATGAGTTGTCCATTAATGCTTAATATCAAAATACCAAAATAATATATTAGCCATATGGATCCAGTTGCATCGTGGTAACTGGTGCTCTAGAAAGTAAGCATGATGCAATAATAGCTCAATCTAAACAAGCACTTCAGTCTTTGGTTACAGTCATTAATTTTGTTAGAAAGCAGTTGTAAACAACTGCATAATTTGAAGGCTTGCTTGTGAAGTACCAAAGGTAGATAATCAATTTGTTTGTAATTACAGGTGTCTGTATGTCAGAAGAGATTAACACCTAGATCTGAAACTGGTATACTCGGTGCATTGTTATTGTTAAGACATGTTTTACAGTTTTTAACAGATAAATCAGTTATGGACATTTTAAAGGTATGTTTTTTTATGAATTTATGATTTATCATTATCAATTCTTCACTTGTGGTCAGTGATTTCTGGTAGAAAATTTAAAAGCATTTTTTTCACCAATGTATGCTCTTTAATTATCTAAATTTGAGGCATTTCTAATTTCAAATATTATGAAAAATAAATGTGAAGAAGTGATCTGTCTACCTTTCAATCCTGTTAATCAGTTTTTTTTCAATAATTTTACTGTGTTATGTATTTCTTTTCTTTGAAAACTGAAATTCAGAAATATTTCTCTCTTTCAGCAAATGATAGTTATTGAGACATTGATGCCGATTATTAAACTAGTTACCTCCCCTAATACATCGTTTCCTGGTGGCAGTTTGATAAGAACAGTTATTTGTCATAAGATAATTGATGTATTATATATACTTGGCTTACGACTTGGTTTCCAAATGACTCGACTACATCTAAATCAAGCTATGCAAATATTTTTTGATGCCTTTAATTGTGTCCATGGTAAACATTTATTAACGAGTTTAAATTCTAAGATGGAATCAACCTCTCCCTCAGGTGTGTATTTTCAAATTTGTTGACTTAAACAGTTAGGAATAACAAAAATTTATGAAGAATGGTGTATGTTGGAAACTTTACATGGTGTCATTTGCTTGGTTATGTGGATCAAATGAAAGTACTGGGTTCTGTCTGGTGATCTTGAATATGTCTTTTCTCATTATTGCAATCAACCCAGTCGTAAATGGATAGATATGATCTAGAAATACCAATGTAAAGAGCTTTGACTTCTTTGGCCAAACACTGTGTAGTAGAAAGGATCCTCCTAAATCCTAAAGTTGTTTTCCTTTTATAAAATAGTTGTTTCTTTATTGTTTTCAAAGAAGTAGTTCTTCATTTATTGAGGGCTTTGTCTGTGAAATTATCGCTTTTATTTACAGCTAACTTACTACCATAAATGACTTGATTTTTTCTCACAGCATTTGGTAGCCAAGGGTCAGAAGAAGGATACTTGCCCATTAAAATGGATTCCAATACTAAAGAGTATAAAATAGGATCACCTATATCAGTTAAAAGCATACATATGCCTGCTCAACGTCCAAAATTAGACCAAACACCTAAATATCACAGCCTATCTTCTATGAATTTATTAGATGAAAAAGGTGAGGTTATAACATTTTCATGATGGAAATTAACAATAAAATTTCAAATGATTTGGAAGATACGGAGAAGGTGAACTAAAATTGGTTTAATTACTATTATCCAAATTGACATACATGTAAATTAATGGTAAATACCTTAATATCTACTTATACCTGATATCTCAGTGTATGTATTTTCTAACTGATCAGATAATTTTGATTATTTTGTTTTAACAGATGAATTAAACGAGGTCAAAGTAGAAGATAAAAATAAAGATAATGGACTGATGGAATTAGCTGAAGTCTTTACACCAGAATTAGCATTGGCAGCTTATATACCAATGTGTCGAATTTTTGGCAGGTAATTATTATAACAATATTTGCGAGATTGAATATAATATGGAGAATCTTTGTCTTATATATTAGTATAGACTGCTAGACTGGTATTTTAGATACATGCTTGCCCTGTACACCAAAGATAACAGAATTTTTAGCTGTGACTCAAAAGAATGACCTTGAATTGAATATGAATAGGATGATTATTTTCTAATTTCAGTATTCACATGGAGAAACATCTACGATGTGATGATTTGATACGTAATTTGTGTGCTCAACAAGATAAATCTATGGATAATCCACAATTTCAACAATCACAGAATAGCTCAGAATATGAGAGAGGTAAGTTTTCTAAATTTATAATGTATTCACTAGTATGAGTGGTGAATGATAATGAAGTAATAATTAGAAATCAATGCTATCTTTATTTAAGATTTGATAATGAAGTAATAAAAAGAGAATAATATTATAATTATTTAAGATTTACTAGTATCAATAGAAAATGATTAGTATCAACAAAGAAAGTGATAATGAAGAGAGATTATTATTATTACATTTATTTACTATCAATAGATTATGATAATGAAGTAATAAAGAATTGAAATGAAATGAATTGAGTTTTATGTTCTACTTTTCTGCACTATGTTTGCTAATGAAGACGGGCAACACCATTCTAGTATCAATAGAGAATGATAATGAAGTAATAAAGAGAAATTATTTTTATATTTAAGATTTACTAGTATCAATAGAGAATGATAATGAAGTAATAAAGAGATATTTATTATTATATTTGTTTGATATAGTATTAATAGAGAATGATAATGAAGTAATAAAGAGAAATTATTATTATTATGTTTATTTAAGATTAACTACTATCAATACAAAATGATAATGAAGTAATAAAGAGAAAATTATTAATAGAGAATTATAATGAAGTAATAAAGAGATAATTATTATCATATTTATTTAAGATTTACAAGTATTAATAGAGAATGATAATGGAGTAATAAAGAAAGAGTATTATTTATTTAAGATTTACAAGTTTCAATAGAGAATGATAATGAAGTAGTAAAGAAAGATTATTATTATATTTATTTAAGATTTACTACTATCAATACAAAATGATAATGAAGTAATAAAGAGAAAATTATTAATAGAGAATTATAATGAAGTATTAAAGAGATAATTATTATCATATTTATTTAAGATTTACAAGTTTCAATAGAGAATGATAATGAAGTAATAAAGAAAGATTATTATTATATTTATTTAAGATTTACTACTATCAATACAAAATGATAATGAAGTAATAAAGAGAAAATTATTAATAGAGAATTATAATGAAGTAATAAAGAGATAATTATTATCATATTTATTTAAGATTTACAAGTATCAATAGAGAATGATAATGAAGTAATAAAGAAAGATTATTATTATATTTATTTAAGATTTACTACTATCAAAAGAGAATGATAATGAAGTAATAAAGAGAGATGTTCGTGGAGGTATAGGACAGAATGTAGCTGTTATAGGTAACAGAATAGAATTAACAGAGAGTATTGATACTAGCACGTCAACAATAACAGAATTTGGTAGAAGTTATAAACATTCTGGTATATTATCCATTAATCCTGATAGACTATGTAGGTATGTAGCATAATCTGTATTTTTCTGTTCCTTTTTCTGGTGCTAAAAAATAATATGAATTGAATTTTCCAAAATGTTATTGGATGGGGATGTTACATTATGTTTTGTTAGGTAACAATAGTCAAATATTTTATTGTTCTAATACAATGCACTCTTTGCTTTTTGTTTTTTCATGTTAGGTATAATCATCAACTTGTCATTATATTATTATTTCACCAAGTGAAAGTTTTGTCTTCATGATTCTTTAAATTTTTCAGTGAGGATATGGATAATTATAAAGGCAGACATCTAAAAGGAAATTGGTTAGCATATTGGGAACATGAATTAGGTGAGTGAAGACCTTTTTTTCATTTTTGGATTTAAGGAGATGAATAGAAAAGATTTAAAACTTTGAATGTTAGTTACATAAATTATATCAGATGATTTTCTTCTTGCAGGTTTACATGAAAGAGATACATCGTTTAATTTTAAACAGATTAAATTACAAACATTTACAGGTATCATTATAAAAGTATATACTTTTAATATTGTATTTACACAGTTTGAATATCTCATAGTTGGTATGGCTCAGATGGTCAGCCAAACATCCTGTCATAGATAGAGTATTGGTGACAGTAACTTTCTAATGTTCTGTTTTCCTTCTGTAAAACTGCAGATCGTACATTGAAAAAATCACTAGTTTGCTTTGAGACAATTAATTTAGATTCTATTTTCTTCTCTCCCTCAATCAAGTTTGTATCAAAACATCAGATTTTTATATCATAATGGACAATGTATTTTAGGTCATACCAATAGTATAAGATCATTATTTGTGATGGACAGTGAGAATTCTTTTATTAGTGCCAGTAAAGATAAAACAGTTAAATTATGGTCGCTGTCTAGTTTAGGTGACGGAAATGGCAAGTAAGTCTATCTGTATTATAACTAATTCAAAATTATTCGTTTAAAAATTCCAAAAAAGATTTTCTTGTGTCTGTATGTCGGTTGGAAACACTTTTATTTGTGATTTTCTGTCTGTAATTTTATCACAAGTAATTCCAGAAAAACTTACACCCATTAAGATACAACTAAGAATATTTGTCCAACATACAAAAACTAGAAAACCTCTGTTGAATTATTTCAGACATTCATGGGCAGTAGTCTTGTTAATTAGCGTAAAGTAACACTGGATCGACATTTATTCACTAAACTTTTAGACTGTAAATAATAGGAAACTGGCTGCAGTCATAAAAAACATATTAGTAAATCAAACTATGAATATTGTATTGTATGATGAATTGTTTTCATTTCAGATGTTCTTGTGTATATAACTATCAACATCACAAGAAGTCAGTATTTTCTGTAGCCTATGTAGAAACAGCTAGACTAGTCGCTAGCTGTGATAGTACTGTTCATGTAAGTAGGGTTTTAATCTATGAAACATATTCTATATTAATGTATACTTTCTATGAAATTTCAAAGATTCACAATCTGTAACATCTTCAGGCAAGATAGAGCAAAATGTTGAAGTGAATATCCCAAGTGCTTTAAGCAAAATGATGAATCAAATATTTAAAATCTTTCCATATCAATTGTTTGTATAAAATGAAATTGTAATATTTTGTAGATTTGGGACCCATTTACTGGTTCTACTATAAAACAACTAGAATCTAGTAAATATGCTCCAGTAGTAGCTGTAGCTCCTATACCATCACCTAGTACTATGATAGTAACTGCTACCACTGATGCTACTTTAAGGTTGGTTATTATTCAGATTCTTGTTTATTATGTGTTACATATATAGGTATGAATAAAATATTGTTTTTAAGATATATAATCTAATTCAGAGCCTTATTGTTTTAATTATTATCCAACTAAATTAATTAAAAATTGTACATTATCTATCATGTCCTGCCTACAGTAGCATTATATTCTAAATATTAAAATTATCTCTTGCAGATTTTTAGATTTACGAACTGCAAAATATGAACACGAATTCAGATGTTCTACTGCTTCAGCAGGTAGTGTTAAAATTAAAATTATATTTACTTTAAATTGGTCAGCACAATTGTGCAAAAATACTTACAAGTAAAGCAAACTCATTTAAATATTTAATCAATCCTTAAGAATAGAATATTGATATTTAAATAGACTATATTCTGTATGATTATCTCATTAGGTTTGATAAGATGTGTGGCTGTTAGTCCAGATGGTAAATGGATAGCTGTAGGATTCTCTACTGGTATGATTATATTATTAGATTTATTATCAGGTATCTTAATGGCAGCATGGAAAGCACATGATGGAGAAATACTTCAGGTATGTTAATAACTTTGAAATAACTGTATCTATGTCAACTGTAGTGTATTCCTCTCTGCACAGCAGCAAATTGAGAGTTAGTGAAATAAACAATATTAACTCGAGCCAGTTTCTCTAGATTTTAGAGAACACATTAATTTGATTGATTAATGAATCTAGACTTAAGATAGATTTAAGTGACTGACCAACTTGAAATCATCTGAAGTGAGGGTTTTTTTTATAAACTGAAGCTGGATATTCAATCACTACAGAAGTAGTTTTAACATCCCAAATTGGAAATAAAACTCCTATTTGATTTCACACTTAATATCCTGCTTGATTTATAAATAATAATTAAATTTGTTCAATTTGTGTTGTAGATCAAAGCATTTGATAAAAGTAGATTGGTATCAACATCATTTGATCAAACAGTCAAAGTCTGGAAAGTAGAAGATGGCAAGGAATTGTGTAATTTGAAAGGTAGACATTTTATGCCTAACATTAGCCAGTCGATTAATTATATAATTTTTCATGAGGCAACTGCCTGGCACAGAACTTATGTTTTATAGATATCAGTGTATTTGACTGCTGCCATAAGTTGGATGCTTTGTCGTGGTATTTTATAACAAGCACAATAATGTACATTTTATCATTTTTTTTCTAAGGCTCTTTTACTTTCTCTCAAGGGAAACCACTCTTCGCTATATAATATTTTTTGTCCACCATACTTTTATATTTTCTTCAAAACTAGAATATATTACATTGTCTGTATGTATGAATTATTCCAGGCCCTACTGAACCTGTACACTGTATATGTTTCTATAGAAATCAAGTATTAAGTGCTACAACAGCAAATAGAATAGGTCTTCATACTACAATAGAAGAAAATGTATGTATTATGATTTGAGATTCAAGATAAGTTTTTCATGTAACAGTAACATGTTCGCTTAGATTTTCAAATACTGATGCTTCCTCCACTTTGCATGAATTATTTACATTTTACTTTTGTAATTTACTTGACAATAACTCAGTCACAAATAGAATAGTGGGACATGGAAGGAAAGTAAAAAATGTTTTGAGATTGGACATACTGCTAATTAATGTTTATGTTTCAAGTGAAAAAAGTTTACTAAGATATTTCTTCATTTTTATTTCAGAGTTCTTTCTCGAGTACAAAGTTAACATCAGATACTTTTAAAGGAGTATTAACCTGTATGTCTGTCTTACCTCTCAATAGAGCTTTATTAGTTGGTGCTGACAATGGTTCAATTAGGTTATTATGTTGAGGAGAATCAACGTCCTTTTACAGTGTTGTTTCTCACTGTGATGATTTCAGTCAGAAGAGATGATTGGTCTTCACTGTGGAATGAAGATGAACTCTTTGACAGTCATGATAAAATGAGTAATTATTATTTATGGTGCATTACATTTTATTATTCAAGTGTATATCAGTTAAGTGACCATACAGAAAGCTATTCCAAAATCTAAATGTTTTGATATTAACATACACACTCTTACAGATTTGGAGTGATATGCCTTGTAAAAATCTATTTTTGTGAAGTAATTTAGGTGAAATGGATTATTTAAATGTATAAAAATACTTTATTAAGATATACATATCATAATCAACTGAAGATTTTACTTATGAATGAAATGCTTCTCTTTCAAAATATCTCAAATTTCTTCCAAGAAGACTTAAAAACATACATAACCTTTTTTGTATTTGAAATAAACATCATGCGCATGGTAAAAAGTGTACATGATTCATTCTCTGAAATATATTCTGGCATAATTATTGTAAATCAATACAAATAAATATAAATATGTCTGTCTGTCTATATAACACCAAGTATTATTATTATAAATCAATTTGAATTTATATTATACCAGTGATAGCTATAATCAAAGATTACTTTATTTTTATTATCATTTCTTTTACTACCGATCAAATTTGTTATTGTTTTGTTGTTTATATGTTAGATTGTAATTATAAATGATATCATTATGAATTCCTCATTAGTGTCATATTTAAAGAGACAGATACTAATGGTAACTTTAGTCTCAGAAATGGAATTTTTTAAGCCAATCACAGCTCATTGTTAAAATTTGAACCTTCAAATCCAGGCGTGTCTAGAACATTGAAATGATGACTCATCTTTTCTTGAGACTCTGCCATCTATAGAAAAGACACATAAAGAAATAAAAAAAAAGAAATTCCAAGTTTGAGGAATATTTTAAGAAATAATACTTCTGAAGACTATTTAGATATATTCAAGACCCAAAGGGTCAACCCTCCAAAATGGAGAACTATGGCCATTGCACAAATCTTGCATTTAACAAAAGTTCAATGAATAGCAAACTAAGCAAAGCTATTAGTTTCAATATTAAAAGATTTCATATTAATGACTAAATTAATGTATTCTTATTTATGTTACACAAAAATTAGCTGAAAATGGAAATAGATTAATAAAAGTTATTATAATCTTTCTAGAAGACATCAAAGGGATAATATTTTCTTTTAAGATATTATAGAATATGTATAATTATACAAGTGGAATTTTATCCATTTGTTATTTTGTGTGCAATATTGTATTTGCTTTGTTGTAATATGTATATTTTCATTGTTAAATGTTGTTTATTCTATAAACTCTTTGCACATATCATTCCACAACATACATCAAAATATCTACTTGTTTATTGACTAATTTTATTGGAATAATTAGTTAATTAAGCTGACATTGTCTTTTGTGTGACTTTATCTTAGCTTCCCATTTTCAATGAAATACATTTTGTTGTGAATATTTTAAGTTTTTTTTATACATTTAATGTTGTACTCTGCAAGTCTGAAAGGTTCTGAAGTGCTACATCCTAGCAATGACAAAAGGAAGACTAAACCTGATTAATAAAATAATAGTACTCTAAAATTACATTACGTGAAACATTATAGACAATGCAAACTTGTTTACAAATTAAATGTTATATGTAAAACAAAATAAGTATTTATATTTATTTGGTATGTTATATTTGGTTTTTTTTTAAGTATGTCCTCCTGAAATGTGCAAGTGTAGGCCTACTGTTGTCTTAAAAAAGTATTGTCTGATTACAAGTTGTTAGATTGTATAAATTTCACTCCCTAATAATAAGAATTGTTATTGAAATCTAATCAACTCTTATAAACATCTTTTGCTATGTTCACAAATTGTAATCTTATTATTTGTGAACATTTCAACAAACTCAAACCTATAGCATATGAATAATTTTCAAATGGTAAATACAATGGATAGGCCATTTCATTCCAGACAAAATAAAAAATTGTTCACAATATTGAAACCTCTTCTTTTACTATTCTTGTCGCCTTGTCTATTGCAAAGTTGTTATTTTGCCTTTAATTCATTCACAAGCATTTCCATATGCCTTATGTATTTGCATGTTGAGGAAGGGAGTCATGAAAATTGAAGGTTCGTTCCTGACATTGGTCCAATTAATTCTTAACCTCTGTCACGGATGAAGTTCTGAGGGGCTTACATGGAAAAAGTGTCAAGGGGTTTGGATACAACAAAAGGCTAAAGTCCTGTAGCTGTGTGATCTTGACGCCAAAGGCAGATGTCCATATTATATATATAGTCTAATAATAGTAGCCTTAAACCATTGTCCGGGCAAATTTCCCCTTAGTGCACGCTGCAAGGCATTGTCTGTCTTCATTAGCCCAACCAGGTGCAGAAGTATAGGGCATAGGGTGTAAACCTCCATCACTTTGCATGTGAAGTGTTTCCAAAAACCAGAAAAACAAGAGGCCAAACCACATACACGCAGGTTATTAATCTAATGGATTTACAAAATTTGAGCGGTATGTTTTTGATTTATTCAGCCTCTTTCATATAATATGAATATTGCATTTAAAGTTTTTCCTTATAATACCACAACCACAATACTAACATGTTGAAGTCTATAGCAAAATTTTAGGCCTCACTGTTCTGAACTGTTTCTGTGATTCTGGACCGATATTGAAGATGTCATGAGAACATCTGTTTTAGAACTTAAAAAACCTTATAAAGTAAGCCTTTTCTTTGAAGCTTCGGCCTGAGATTGTCAAATTTCGTCTGTAAGAATTTAGATTTTGATTTTCCAAATACAACCTTTGGGCGAACTTCCGTTGTTAAGACAAATGATTCTGATTGGTTGAAATGAACAGCACGTGGGGAAATGTCCTAAAGATGGACGTTGAATTGTTGATATTTTATTTTTGAAATATAGATCTGCTTGTATATGTAACACAGCACAATAAACATGAATCCACTTCAACAGGAACTTGTATCCAAGCTTTGTCTTGCTGTAGAGACAGTCATGAATCCTGTTGTCACGCAGGCGGATCGTCTGGCAGCCCATCAGGTTCAGTTTTATTTGTTTGAAAAAAAGATAAAATAATAGCCTATTGGTATTGGTTATTTACAGTTAGGTCTATTGACAACTTCTCTAGTGGATCTATGTAAGATATTAATAAAAAGAATAAATTTGACTCTGATTGAAACATTCAGTTTAGATTAGGATTATAGATCCCACTGAGCTGGAACTTGAAAGGGAATCATGATCTGTGCAAACGATGAATGTATTCTGCTGGTTATTCGACTGAGCTTGATCTCCCCAGACACTGTCAAAACTTGGAGATATGTGGAAACGAAACATGACTTTATTAAAGTTAAAGGCAATTTCTGATGGAAAATATACAAACATATAATCTTTTTGAAGTTTACTCCCTGTTCAGTTTCAGACAGTAGGCCAGGATGTTTTAACTGATCATATTAACCTGTCTTATGAATTGAAATTCATGGAAACATGAATTTGACATAATTTCTTAATAAGCTTGATTTGTTATGTTCTGTTGAATTGTATCTTCGTTTTCATTTTAGATTTGTGAAGAATTTAAAGATAAATCATCATCATGTATTCAAGTGGGAATGATAATTTCTTCAAAAGAGTATCCACCTATGATTCGTCATTTTGGTCTCCAGGCATTGGAACACTGTATTAAGTAAGTAGGCCTACTTATCAGTCAGAATCTTCAGAATCTCAAATTGAGCTCCTCCACAAATACATTTTTCCAAGTGCATATTATTGTTTGGTTTATAAACAATCTGAGTAAAAATTAGATATAAAGCAGGTCAAAATTTATGTACTGGTATGTAGTTTAAGTATAATAAAATGATTATTGATTTGGTTATCATAATTTATTGTGAATAAGTTATATGCTGGTTAAACGACAGGTCCTACACAGGAGAAAATGTAGCTTTAGCATTTAATTGATTACCAGAAATAATATGAAATTTGATGATCGATAATCAAAATTTTAATATCATATTTGTAATGGAATATTCTTATTATTTTATCCAACTCCATTCATGATTTTGTGACTATAGACTTTAAATCCCAGTCAGCTTTTAACAAATTTTTCCCTGTATAATATTCTTTGGTATATTTTTTCTTTTTTTTTTGTTTGTAGGTTTCGTTGGAATGATTTAACTGTACATGAAAAGCTTTTTGTCAAGTCAAATTCTCTCATGCTTTTAGACACTGTAAGGTTTTTACCTTGTATTTGAATTAATGTTGAGTCTTAAAAATATCACTCTATATTTTAAGCAGGTATTGCATACTTGTGAAAATCCAGACCAACTGAAGTCTTTGAGATGATTATAAATATAAAACAGACAACCAATATGTGGAATTTGTACTGTATATCAATATTCTCCTATATAATATATCTGTGTAATTTAGGGAACCAAGAATATAATAGAAGAAGAACTCCATGTCAAAGATGCTATTTCTAGAATTATAGTCGAACTGATGAAAAGAGAGTGGCCACAGAATTGGCCAACATTAATGACAGAGTTACATGATGCAGCCCAGCATGGGGTAAGTACTTCTTCTACAAACACTTGTACAGAGGTTTTTAGTTCAAAAATCTTAGACAGTCATGGAGAATTTTTGTAGTATTCTATATAATATTTGTATATTTTATAGGAAACTCAAACTGAGTTAGTATTAATGGTATTTCACAGATTAGTAGAAGATGTTGTGGCCTTTCAAAACTTACCCAATCAACGTAGACGAGATATATTACAGTCTCTAACAGCACAATTAAATCAGCTCTTTGTTTTCTTTCTCAATATTTTAGAGACTAATTCTACTAGATATCGACAATTGGTAATAATTTCTTCTAATTCTGATTAAAGTATGTAAATGATCATTCCTATTTTTAGCTTGTCAAACATATTCATCACACTCAAAAAATGATACAGATACATCTGAAACATCAAATATAAAGCTGATGTGTGTCTTCATACTCACAAAGTTTTTCTGTGATTTGTTAAATGTTTTGCATATTATTGCTGATATATTTTAAGATAGAAATATAAAAGAATAAGTCTATTGTAGGTGTCAATGGGTAATAAACAAGAAAGTCTAGCTGTAAATAAAGTAAGCCAAGCTGTATTGATGACATTAACTGGTTTTGTTGATTGGGTACCAATGTCACATATAGTAGAAAATAATGGATTATTATTACAATTGTTATGTTTATTACTAAATGAAAGTTCATTACAACTACATTCTGCAGAATGTTTATTACTTATAGTTAGTCGCAAGGTGAGATTATATTAAATTGTTGTTTGAATTTACCAACTGTTAGAAATGTCTGATTGGCAAAAAAATAAATCAACACTCCTGCCTTTACTTCTTATGCTGGTTTGTAATTGTGCTGCTTTGTTTCGGAACATTTAATACAGATCAGAATAATTCTATAACAATCGGACATGCAACAAGATATATTTCTTGATTTTTATTAGGGTAAATTAGAAGATAGAAAACCCATTCTTATATTATTTTGTGAAGATGCCATGTCAACTATTCTTACAGCAGCAATGTAAGTACTTCATATTATTATTCATTACTTACAAATATGTATGATTCTAATGCTATTTCGGTCATGTTTTAATTTAGACTATCAAGTCTCTGTTCAAAACATAGAATCCTCAAAACATTTTTTTTATTTGTATACAGATTTTCATGAAACTGTGACATTACATGTACTGTGTATATAGACATTTTAAGAGCCTAACTTGCTTATCTATACTGAAGTTGTATTATTTATTTAACTATTACGAAGAAATTTCTTTTTTAGAGCTGCTGAAAAGTCATCATTAGATGAATATTATTACTTATTTCTCAAAAGATTATGTCAAGTTTTAACAGAGATTGGAAAACAACTGGCTGTTTTATGGGTGAGTTAGTAAAAAAAAGTTTTGAATTCAGGGTTCTTAAAAGAAATATACCTAGTAGAAGCCATGATGAGTGAATTGTTTGATTCTGGCAGTGGTTTTTCCCTTAAAATAGACAATAATTTGATATCAAGACTATGTAATGATATTTGTATGTGTGTTTGTAGGGTACTGACCCTGAAGTTGTTGAACCTCCCAATTTCTCTACCTATCTTGAAGCTCTCTTAGCATTTACAGAACATGAGAGTAAGGTAAGGAATATTGGAATAATTTATTGATTTAAAAAATACATACAGCGGTATTTCTTTATTTAATTTTTACCTTAGTAAGGTTCCTCAGTCCAAATCTTTCATACATCTTTGTCATGGTTATAAAGTTATTTCCTGTCTTATTCTGATGTCTCTTCATCACTTCAATAATCTAAACGATTAGTTCTACTTTTTAGAACTGTGCAGTTATGATCATCTTAAGTGATAGTGTTTTTGACAAATCCTGTACTTGGATATTGCATAAGGCGCACTATTTCTGTTCAGTTTGATGACTGATTAGTTTTCCCACCTTCATTGGTCGAACAAAGAGTTGAGCTATAAGAGGTAACTTCAATTCATTTTCATTTATTTTATTTTATTTGACACTTTTCTTTTCAGATGTTAGGCAGTTATACACAAACATTGTGGGCATTATTTTTACGTCATAAACATATATCAAAAAACCCAACTTTAATATCCTTTATACCTCGTGTTGTTACTGCAGCTACCAAATCTTTATTAAAGGTAAATATTTATATAATCTGAATATTTATATGGTGGGCTTTGGGTATTCTGAGAGCAAATGATGGTCCATCTTATAGATTTACAAAAATAATGCTGTAACCCTTGAAAGTGACCAAGATTTACTTCATTTGGTCATAGATATTTATTTATTCTAAAAACATTATGAGTACAGTGTGTATGAAAATAATGTTGTAATTTTCAGGTTGGTTATCCTAGTCAAAATGATTATCCTAGCTGTGCGTATAGTAAATTAGATTTTGATAGTGATGAAGAGTTCAATATGTTCTTCCCTAGTAAGTTATTGTTTTGTTGGCGTTTCCATCCTAGATGGATTTGGATTGTTCTTATAATCAAAACTAGAATCTAAGTTTCAGCCATGCTTTATTCAATCTCTAAGCTCTTACATCATGCCTTCAACTCACAAAAGTACATATCCTGTCACATGACAAACAACTACCTTAAGAGCAGACAACTCTGTTTTACTGAGAAGGAAAATATGGGAGATAACTCTTACTTAACAATGATTTTTAAGACCACAATATGAAGTAATGATATCAATATGACATTATTGTGTTAGTTGCGTGCAATGTTTCTAACTTGCTTAGAATTCTTTAATTTGGATAAATTATAAAAACTTCTAATTCAGTACTTTGTTTTACACTCCATAAGATCACAATTAAAGCTTTTTTCAAATTGAAGTTTACTACGCTTGTCAAAACCAACTTCTTTGGAGATCTTTATAACTAACATGCTATGTGCACAGTAAGAATATATTTATGTATTTTACAGGATATAGATCAGAAGTAGCTGATACAGTCAGATTAGCCACCTTATTACAACCTAAATTAACCTTTAATATAGCTTATAACTGGTTAAAATCTCAACTACAAAAACCATTAAATATTGGTGAAGGTAAGGAACTTACACAACATCTCAAGGTTAATTTGTGCTGACATTTTAAGCTTTGTATCCATCTAGATCATCAGAAAAGCTCTACTACAAAGGTGACCTAATTGGATAGAAATGGGCAAGTTATATTCAGAAAATAGCACCTAAAAAATATCATTCATTTTTATTTACCAATATTTTATTATAGCTGGTGTAGATAAAGGGATATGTAATTTAAGTTCACCTTCATTCCTAGAATGGGATGCTCTGAGTGTTTTCTTAGAAAGTGTTATGTTACGTCTGATGGCATCCACTAATGCTAAACCAGAAACAACAGAAGGTATTGAATTATTAGAACAAGTATTAGCCTATGAAACTCAGGTTAGTTGCTGGTTGTATTCTTACTTGCAAATGCATGGTGTGGGCCTTGACTACATAATATATTCTATGTTCTTCCATGTTTTGACCTGACTTTCAGACAACTTTAGATTTTATGCTCATTGGCAACATTCATAGCTTGGTGTAAAGCATTTGATTCTTAATTATGTAAATAATTCATATGTTTCCTAATATACTTGATGTTTAGTTATATATTTGCCATGCTCTATTTTTCAGGATCCACTGATATTATCATGTTTATTATCATGTATATCAGCTTTATTTCCTTTATTATCTTATACACCAGAAACTATACCAGTTGTCTTAGATAAGGTACTTTTATTTCATTATCATTTTACTGTCATGGAACATAGGCCTGACTAAAGAATACAATATCATTATTCATTAACGGAATGGTTAAATTTTGTATTAACATGCAGATATTTTGTTCAGTTCTTAATTACTTCGAGGAGTTTGTCAGACTAGATGATGATCTAAGAAATTGATTATAGCCTTTTGCAGTTACTGTATCTACACAAAATTCTCAAATGTAGGACATTACTTGTGAAAAAATTTGGATTTCTCATTTATAAATTTCAGATATTTGGTTCTGTAATCTTCAACATTCCTGGTCAAACTAAGAGTACCAGAAGTAGAGCTGTAAAAAATGTCCGCCAACATGCCTGTTCTATTATAGTCAAAATTTGTAAACAGTATCCATCTCTTATATTTGTAAGTAGTTTTATAATTTGAATAATTTTGTTGTTCAAATTTAAAGTCAAGATTAAAATGTGACTTTGTCACTTACATATGACTTCAGTATTATATAACTTCAGTATTATATAACTTCAGTATTATATAACTTCAGTATTTTGTAATTTTCCAAACAAATTCTCTAGAAATGTCAATTTGACAAATCAATTATACAGTGAAATTGTTCTGTAAGAGTCGGAGTCAGCATTCTGCAACAATTCTTATTGTAGTAGTGCAATATTTAAAAAAATGAAGTCTTTGATCTTTGACTTTGTAATATTTGTTTTATTGTAGCCAGCATTTGATAGTTTATATACTCATATTAAACATATTAGTAATGATCCAGAACAGCTATCTCAGATGGAGAAAACTATTTTACTTGAAGCTATTTTATTAATCAGGTAAGCTAAGTGTTTAAGGTGTTCTTAATATTTTATTAAGGATATGATAATGACAATCCTTTTAAAGATGTTAGCATATTGATCTTAGTCTTATTTTATCACAATCACTCCATTTGTAATTTAATTGCTGAACTTGCAGATTTTTGTCTTAGATTATAGTAATTTATAATTTCGATTATCGATTATCAAATTTCATAGTCGATGATATGTCAAAGTTACATTTTCGCCACTATACTCCTTAAAAAGCAGTAATCTCTTCTAGCACATTATTTACCCACAATAAACTATAATGACCGATCAAAGCAAGAATATATTTTTATGATGCAAAAATACCCCATGAAATTAATAATTTTGGCATGTTTTTAATTCAGTATTTACAGGGTTTCTCAATACCCAGAGTTTCTTAAAAGTACTGTAAAAAAGATGCCTCCTGCAATGTAAGTGATGCATATAGTCCACTCTTCTCAAGGGACTGACATTTGCTATTGTTACACTAATAACATTAGTTTAAACTTAATATCGAAGGTCAATTTTATTTCAGTAATGAATTTAATAATTTTGAGAAGCAATCAGCATTTATACAAGAAATATTAGCCCCAGTAAGAGAATTATGGATGTCTAAAGAGTTTACTCAGTATGTTTAGAATTTTTTGATGCTTCTTCACATATCCATTTTATTTTCAATTCCAATTCTCCCCTCAAATGAAAACTGCAAATTTGGACGGTCATCATCTCCAGACAATTTATTTTAAATATAACCATGCTGCTAGGATGTCCTAGGTTCTTAACTTTTAACTCTGTTTCTAGGATATCCTAGCACTAAGAACATTTTGAAAATACATGGCCTGGCCATCATTAAGATTCTTGAATAAAATTATTACAAATGACATTTCCAGAGATAATTCTCTAGACGAAGACATATCTTATAGAACCTATTTACAGTCAACTGAAATTATAAGTGAATTATTTGTATATTATAGGGCATTTCTATCACCTGATATGTTCATGTCATATGTGGGTTTAGATCAAGCTGCTGTAGAACCTAGTTCAGCTGATACTTGTGGAATCAACAGATCTCATGTAAGTTTAACCTTTAATTCTCAGACGTCAGAAAATCTTATAGTTATGTTTTAGATCTGTTGTATTTGAACTGATATGTGTTGTCTTAAAACCAGTTACCAGTTATCAACTCAGAATTTAGAACATTAAAACACACAATACTTTACCTGATACTTCTCATCAAAGTTTTTACTTGACAATTGTAAATCGTACTTTTTTGGAATTGACTTATTCAATTTGATTATTGTTAATTTAGATTAGTTACTGTGCTCATACTATATTAGGTGTTATAAATCGTAGCAAGTGTCCAGATAACTTACAGGTTAGTTCAGTTTATATTCCTAGCATACATATTTTTTTATGCTCTCAAAGATTTAAATGAGCTTTGAAAATTAAATTTGTAGACTCAATGTTAATGTAGAAATTTTATCTCTAAATTCTATAAAGCTGAGATATCATTTATATATTATGTTATATTGCAGATAGCTGAACAAGGTGGTTTTGTTATAGGAACATCAACTGTAACTGGTCAGCCAATATTACGCAACCCAGCTACCTCACATATACTAGAATTATTTCATAATTTTATTGTTCTGTTAAAGTAAGTACTATTTTACAAATCACTAGTTTAACTCCAGTTCTGAAACTAATGTTACAAGCTGAATTAATGTCACAAATATTTAGTTTGGTCTGGTCATTTAAATTATAATAGTTACAATAGTTTGATATTAATGTGCACTAAATGTACCTAAACTGTTAATAAAAGTTGAATCTTGATTTTTATTTTAAGAACACTAAATGGTTTATGGTTACCAGAATATTTGAGGTTAAGACATCCAGATTTTGAGAAGGCTTATGATTTATTAGAAGTCGATAAGTTAGCAATTTTAGGTTGGTATTCATTTTATTATGCATGTGCCTTCATTTATACGAAACAATGTTGTCATTTGTAGACTATTACATTCTAATATATAAAGTTACATTGTTAATCTTTAGGTTTAAATAACTCACCAAATGATCCAGTAAAGTATTTTATTCTTGTCTAGGGTTTTGTTTAATGCATAAGTGACTCATAGAATGTAACATGTAACCTTTGTTACCACATTTCACCTGATTGAACCTGTATATCTACCAGATTTTGACTAGATAAGATTCTATTGATATATATGTGTTTATCATGATTTATCAATAGGTATACCACCACCATGTATAGATAACTCAGATTCGACAACCTGTAAACAACCATTAGCTAGAGTTAAAAGTTTCCTTGGTATGATACATGATAATAGGTAGGCTACCATTTACCTCTAGCATTGTCTTATTGTTCACTTTAGCCAGGCAGGACTAGGTCACATCTTTCTGATTCCTCATGCCACTCGGACATTGAAAGACCTTGAAATAGATTGTGGCAATACCAAAACAAATGAGATCTGTTGTGGCATTATGAAATTCTCTACAACGTTTGGTACATCAATACTACTCTTTAATTAGACAGCCTGTTTTTAAAATTTGCTATAGAAAGAAATTCATGTAATAAATTTGGCTAATTTCAAGGGCTTAAAAGGTTACTATTTTTATTTTTCAGTTTTCACATCCTAGGGAATGCTGGTCAATATTTAGGTTATGAGTTCTATGCTGCTAGTAATATTATGAATTTTTTAAATGAAAATGTGTTATGTTATGGAGAGTATATACCAGATTATAGATTACGACCTGTTATTCATATCCTTGAATATAATCTACAGTTTAATTATAAAGTTTTTTCACATGATGCTTTTGATTTAAAAAATGTGTGATGTTGAGTCTAAATTTGTGTCAGATATAAGCAGCAAAAGGACAAAATTTACAAAAAATAAATATAGTTTATTTAACTATATTTATTTTATGAGACATAAAAGCTTAGTGTTTTCTTTGGTCAGACTTACAACTTATTTTAATTTTCATATCTGTTGAATCCTGGTTGTTATTTTCCTTAACCTTTATTTAAGTGTCTTTATGAAACCATTTATTTGGAACTGTCCAAAGGATTTTTATGAATCTGCAGCATTACCAATGTTAATGAAATTATGTCCCTTCATATTACAAGTATGTCTAATTAAATACTCACTAATTAAAGCCCCTGGAAACAGATGAATTTTGAATGTATTCTCATGATTCTTTCAAATTGATCACAGAAATTTAATAGAGGTATGAATGTGTATTTAAACACAGGATTTCTTTGTTTTTTTGGTCAGTTAAATGTAGTAGAGTAGAAAATGAATTTACGTATAGATTGTAACTTCACAGTGAAGATATTATATTCTTATTTTCAGAGATTATCAACTAAATGGCAATTAATTAATACTCAATTTCAAACAGGGTAAGATTTTCTTCTCTTTTCATTTATTTGTTTGAATTTTTCATGCATCTCATTAGATATCAAGTTAATAAGTCAAGGCTTCATTTAAAAATATGCAACTTTCTGCATTTATAAACTTAGCTTAAAGAATGGAATTGTTAAATGGTATTAAAACAACTCAACCCAACATGAGAACTCATTGTTTTTTTTCTAATGTTAGAAGTGAGAATGAAGAAGAAAGTGAATCTCAAGAAATAATAGAAGATCAATTAACAAGACAATTAACACGAGAATATTTAGAACTATTAGGTATCTATCTTGCACACTGCAAACCAAAGTTAATTTATTAAGAACGTTCTAATGTCGCATAGTAAAAGTTGATAGAGGTGAGCACATCTCTACCCCAGTATCTGGCTTTCCTGCTTCACTCCTTTCTCATCTTAGAAATTTAAGTGCAAGTGCCCCATATATCCATTGTATCCTTTGTCACAGAGATGTGAATAAAAAATACTCCGGTGTAGAAAAGAATTTAATATCTATCTTGTTTCAGATTACTGTTTGACTAAAAGATCTCATTCAGACAATGGAGTAGGGGATGATTTAAATATGGAAGAAAATGAAGCTCAGAAATCCAACCAGAATAAAGAGATGGGTCTAAATGAATTGGGACAACTTTGTCTTAAAACTGATGTAAGTGGAATTGAGGTGAATTTGCATCAGATCAAATGACTAAATAGTTAAAAACAGACTGTGATATATTTCCAGAAGAAACAATTGCCCTGGATAAAGTCTTAGCTTTGCTTATGTAAGAGAATTAGTATGTTCATATATTGCAATAATTCATATACCAGCATACTTGAACATACAGCATTATTAATGGTATAGTAAGACCATATTTATTATATTTCAGGCGTTATACCCATCAATGTTATTTTGTATATTTAATGGATTATCATGGAATGATACCTTAGTTTGTCAGAAATGTTATAAGTTGTGTTGGCCCACTGTCAAACAGGTAAGCCTTTTATAAAGTCTTTCTATGTTACAGTACTATGTTAAATTATATTTTATTGGTGTTTCCAGCAAGGATTTAGTACATGGTTTGAAGTTATGCTGGGCTTAACTATTGTTCTTCAAATTGGTGACTACGAAAAAGTGTCCATGGAAGCAAGGCACGTGTCATGCTTCACAATTCTACTATGTTGTTTAGACATTAAAATGTCAATTTGTCTTTTAACAGTTAATATCTGATGGTGTAATGACAGATGAAGCAGCACCCTATGTATTTAGTTCAGTATTATCAGGTTTACAAGTACATGGACAACATGAAGGTAGTCAGGCTAATTTAATGAATCTCGCTTTACAACTTTATGAAGCACTTGTAAGTTATTAATTTTAAACATTATCCTCATATTCTTATGAATGAAATAATTAAATAATTTTCAATATATGCCTACTTCGTCTCTTTATATTGCTTGTACCCTTTTCTTTTTTGGATTTAATTATTTATTCATAAATTTTAACCAAATTGACAATTGATTGAGCTTATTCCTGAACTCTTATTAGAACTGTGATAAGATGGAAAAAGTCATTCAAAATCATGTCATTTGAGGAAGTCAATAGAAAAATATTTGGAGAATTTTTATACAAAACCTTCAAGATATTAAATGTTTTAGATTACCACTGATTTATTCTTTTTTTAGAGGCCTACATTCCCAGTGGTGAAGTCAGTTTTATTACAAATACCAAATGTATCACAACAGGCAGTTGAGGTAAGGCAATGAACTTTGATTTACTAACTTTTGTCAATATAGTTCAACATTATATTATTTGCAACATACATCTTTTGTATTATTTTTAGTGACATTCTTTTATTGATATTTTAAGATCTTTGATGATAAAATAGTTCAACAAGGTCCTCAAAAACAACTGCCAGAGAAGAAAAAGAAAGAAGCTCTGAAAAATCTGGTGTTTGAAATAATTGGGGTATGATCAAATATCTTATATCTCTTTTATGGCTCAAAACATTTAAAATTAACTTTTTAATTACTGGTTGAGTAGAAATATTTTGTTATACTTTCAAAAAATCTAAATTGATGAAATCAAAACAGATTGGTAGTGACCAGGACAATATATGATCAATTTTCATAGCATGTATATTTTTGTTTTTATTCAGAAAAATGTTGGTCAACAATTTAAAAGAGAAGAGCAATATAAGAATTTACCATCTTTATTTAAACCACATCGACGTAAAGCTGACTCTTTATTAAATAATGATAGTAAAGATATTGGAATCTGTTCATTATTTCATCCTAATAATGACTGAATCATCTCATACACCATCATGTCAATAATTTGAAATACATTTCAAGCTACCCCGTGGAGGAGGAGCCAGGATGACTCAGTGAGTTAATACACCTTGGATCAATGCAGACACAGGCTTTGGATTTATTACAGCTTTCCCCCCGTTTTGTGCAGCAGGTTTTTGTCTTAATGCCAGTGAACCAAACAACACTGGTTTTTTGGTCATTAAAATATTTCTAGTCCTAAAAAGGACTGTCATAGACATTATAGAAGCAGATAGTGATTTAAATTGTCAAGAAGATGGTGGATGTATTTAATATAAATCTAAAATTATGAAGTGAATATAACAATGGTTGGATTATACCACATAATTTGGTTGTGGAAACTCATGAAATGACAGGTGTGTTACAATGATGTTGAATAAACACATTCTTGAGAAAAAGTTGACATTGTTTGATTCTTGATATTGTTTCATTAATCCCAGTGAATAAATCAATGTTTTTCTTTTCAAATTGAATCCAAAATAATTTTCTATGTAAAGAAGACTTGACAATTATAGCAAAGCTACAGTATATACACCTAAAATAAAAAAAACCATGAAGTTGTTGATCATAACAAAATCATTTACAAGTATACAATGGTGATCAATTTGGGCTATGAAATAGCTTTTAGTGTAAATTGAGTTTATGATAACATTTAGACTGCTTGATAGAATTTCAATGAATTCAAAAGTGAAATGATATAGTGTTATGATCAATATATCATTATGTGGCTGTCAGTGGAGAATGTTGTCAAGTTTTAATTTAAAAATTTATATTTTCTCTGCAATGAATTCTTTCTCCACTAAAGTGCTGAATTATTATTTTGTCAATGATCAATCCTTATGAAATCAAAAATGAATATCTTCACGATCCGTGTTGAGTTAATGTTTTGTAATTTATTCTTATGCTGAAAAAGAATTAGTATATCAATGATTAATTGACAGTATGTATAGGGTTAAGAAAGTTCCAATTTATATTAGGTTCCACTTTGAAATGAAGTTGTGTAAAATCCCTGTGATAATAGTTTTTATATCATTTGTTTTGATGAAAAATTAAACATGTGAAGTTACTTTCAGACTTATATATGAATTTAATTGAGGTTAAGGTAGAATTTGAGTGGTGTGCAAAAACAAAGCACAGAGTAAATGCATTTTGTTAGGCTTGTGGCTCATTTATTTTCCTTTACTGGGTATGGACCAGAGCCAGATTTGTATGAACACTCAAACAGGATTGCACAGTCTGTTATATACATGTGCAATATATTCCAATATCTGTCCACTTTGCTTCAAGGTCAGACTTGTATAGTTTCAACCACACCACAACAAAATAGACACTGGTTCTCTTCCCAAAGGATTGGTACAGAGGTTTTTTTTATGTGTATCGACGATGCCAATATCATCAATTTGCACCAAATTAATTTTCAATTTGATTTCTGATTCCTGCAATTCCACTAAACCTAAGTGATAGATAATGTCACTATGCTAATCATGAAGGGCCTTATGTTTTAAACATATATTGTGATTAGTGACGTCATCAAATACCGAAGTCTTAGTGGAATTGCAGGAACCACATTTGTCTGATTGAAAATTGGAATGGTTCAAATTCTTGCTTTCAGTGTTCCCGATACACATAAAAAATTCATAAAACCTCTTTACAATCCCTTTAACAATTGGAAATGTGCTTAAATATCTTTGTACTGATAACGATAAAATAAGTTAAATATTCTAATAACAAAACAATATTTACAACAAGATAATTTCAACAATAACACACAGACACAAAATACACTTCATAGGAGCCATCTTTCTCCATTTCAACCCATTTTGTCTTGCATGATCCTATAACTTTGAATATCTTTTCTTAAGAGTCGTTTTGTTTTTTTCGAATTTCCAGTTTTTGCAGCTGCTTTTTTCAGTTGAGTTAACAAATCAATTTCTTTATTAACCAACTGTTTTGTTGAAGCTGGAGTTGAAGAAGGAAGCAAATGAAATTCAGTCCCTGATTTTTCTAAATAAAGTACCATCATTGAAAAGGCATTAGTTCCTATTTCACTAGTATGGACATGTCGTATATGTTCTTTACAGCTGAAAAATTCATAAAATAACATATCACAATGAGGACAAAACATAATTCTAATTTCATCTGAATTTGCTTTTCTTATAGGTAAATGATCAGCACTTCTCCAATGATCATGTAAACTTTTAGTTTTATTGAAATTTTTATCACATTTTAAACATTTATTAATATTAGATATCTTAGGCCATGATGTCTCTAATACTTTACTCAAGCCATAAATATCAGAGAAATTTTCATGATGTGTTTGATAATGTAGATTACAAATATTTATATTTTCAAAAACCGAATTACATACAGGACATATTGGAATAATATTTCTATATCTAGCTGCTCTATTCGTCACAACTAATGGCTTCAGTAGAGTTTTAGGACATAGAGAACCATTTTCCTTCACTGAATGACACATGCTGGCTGAAAAATGAGTTTCTTCTTTTAAATGAGCCTCCACATCATTAAATTTTTCAGTGGTAAAATGACAAAAATCACAAGAATAGGCAATCAACTTTTTGTCCACAGCTTGTTTTTTGGAATTCTTGGATGGACCTTCATCTTCACAAGGTTTTTTTTCCCCCCGCTTGGCATCTCCATTCATATCATCAGAAGATACAGCACCTTCTAAATCAACTGGAACACAAGCTATATCACAACCTGATACTTTTCTTCTACCATCAGGTAAAATACCACATTTAGATTTCACTCGTTGAAATATAGCTCCATTATTTTCATGGACAAATTTAATAAGGTCAGCTCTTGCTGCTCGAAGTTCTTTAACTGAATATGGTCCAAAATCTCCTTCGATTTCATCTGTTGGTGGAGGTAAATACCATACTTTATCTTTGTCCTAAAATAAACAACATAAAACTTTTTTCAGATCCAAATGAATTATCAATCGTAAATATGGAATATACAGAATGGCTTGGTATTTCATTTCTTTTTACTGACAAGGAGGGAATAGATCAGGACTCAAAACCAAAGCTTGAAATAACTTCAGAAATAGCATCAATCAATTTGTGTCGGACATTTGAAATATTCTACTGGCCATAAAAAATAACATATATTCAACTCAAAAATTGCATTTTAAACATGTCAAGTAAGGACTGAAATTTCCTCAACTGAAATAAAGGTAAGAATAGTTTATGTCATTCAACTGAAAATTATTTATATTCCTGATGCATGTCGAGTATCTATAAAGCCTTACAAATGTACCTTGGTAGATAATTAAATCAAATCGTATCTTGTTGAAAATTTCAAGAAAAAGATCATGTCTCTTTTTTTCTCCCCTGGATAAACAAGTTAATCTCCCATCACATTGGAGTGGTAGGCCTATAAGCATCATAGCTCACTTGCTTGGAACTTATGAGAGATCATAGACCAAAACATCTGCCTCGATAGCTATACTGAAAGTTGTCGGCTGGTGTAGAGACAGAAAAATAGGACCTGTTTTGTGGAATTTTTAGAATAAATTAGTACAGTGGTGTAACCTATTTTCGTGCATATGAGGATTCAACACCGAATTTCGTCAGAATAACGGAAATTTTCTTTGTCTTAGATGTTTTCTCAGATATTCCACAAAATTAATTGTTTTTCGATTTCCTTTATGAATAAGATACGTACTGTGATTTATTGCTAAAAATCCCCCGATTACTGCTGGGGATTATAAGGTAATTTGGCCAATAAAAAAATTGTCATATTTGGTACTAACTGAAATCCCCCCTTTTGTATGTGTTAGAAATAAATAATGAATTTGACATTTGAAACGAGAGAATGAATTTGACATTTGAAACAAGAGAAAAAATTCTGCAGGTTGACGTAAAGGTAACCCATGTTTATCAAAACATGCAAATGCAGAGGTCACGCGAGGTCGCACATGTAAATTATTTATCATTCCCAGATATGCACGAAATTAGGTTAGGTGACTGTACCCACTGGATTTTTCTTGTCTTATCTTGATCAAACATTGTACACGAAAATAGGTGACACGTTTTGCAGCCGTTAAAGTCATGTAAAAGGTCCAGAGAATGAATGTCAGAAAAGCTCATCTGTAAAAGAGCACATGGGTTACATACTTACCACCATTTTGATTCAACAAATTCTTCAGTTTACTTTAGTTACTTTTTCTCCATTTTCTTTACCAACACCGGAAGTGGCGTGTAAAACAGGACTGGTAGTTTAGTCTAAAATCAAGTTTTGTATTAACTATAGAGCATTAAAGAGAGAATTCTTTGACAATAAATCTTAATATGACGAACAATACGTAAAATTTTCTCTTTCATCAAAAGAGACTCTTTTAATTTCTGTCCAGACAAGGCTTATGCGTCTATAGTTAAACAAGCAGTAGGCCTCGTTCTGTTTTAGTATAGGCCTATAGTCAATTGGACACTAAACTATATTGCTGCAACATTTAGTCAAAGTGGCCCATGGAAAAAGTTAAAATGGCACTATTTTTTGGGCCCATTTTCACTAAAACCCTCTTCATTAGACCTGTAGTTCCGATCACTTAAAGGTTAAAGGGAAAAATAAATGCACCCTTTTTTTACTTTACTTTTACTTTAATACCGGGAATTTTTCAGTTAAGCCAAGCTTTATTAATAATGTTCACAGCTCAACGTCGAAATTTGAGCCCTCAAATCCATGTGTGTCCAGTATTATCCGCGATTGAATGTTAACGTGGACTCGTGATATATAGAAAAGACATATATATAGAAATAGTGAGTAAAATTCCTAGTCTGAGGTATTTGAAAGGAATTATGCGATTTCCAGTACTTCTGAAGACTATTTACAATGAAGACTAAAACCAACTCCCAACAATGACACATTGTCCCTTTTACTAGCCTAGCAGCCTACCTAGACAAATTATAATAATATTTATAAACTTAACCACTTCTTGCTCTTATCGAAAAACATTTCGACTATGGAATACATTATTACGACTTGTAGACTCCATTATCACGACTTGTGGAATCCATAATCATGACTTGTAGACTTTATTATCACGACTCGTGGAATCCATTATGACTTGTGGAATCCATTATTACGACTTGTAGAATCAATTATTATGACTTTTGGAATCCCTTATAACGACTTGTTGAATCCATTATGACGACTTGTTGAATCCATTATCATGATTTGTAGACTTCATTATCACGACTCTTGGATTCCATTATCATGACTTGTGGAATCCATTATTACGACTTGTGGATTACGGCGACATGTAAAATTAATTGTGGAATCCATTATTATGATTTGTAGAATCAATAATTATTACATGTGGATATCACGACTTGTGGAATCCATTATCATGCCTTGCGGAATCCGTTAAATACTACGACATGTGGTACGAGTTGTGTAAAATATAATTTAAAAATAAATTCCTACACCAAGTTTCACTAAAATCTTCTAGAGTGTCACGATATATATATATATATCTATATCTATATCTTTGTATCTATATACGCGTAAAGCTAATTGTTTTTATACGGCTACATTATAAGATTTCAATTGGTAGGCCTATAGGTAATTTTGGGGACATGTCTCATGCGCTTAGGAGCTATTTGTTTATTTCTAATGTAAAATGGCATCCAACTAAAATGTTATTTTGAATATTTGTAGATGACACAAATGAGCTCTCAGTAGTCGTAGAAAAGAAAACATTGATATTTAAAAAATAATAATCTATCAAAGCAAAAAGTTTTTTGAATATTTTGTTCTGGAATTCATTACCTCAATTACTTACACAATCCAACAGCGTAGAATGTTTTAAAACAGGACTGGAAAAGGGAACTACGATAACAAGAGAGAATTATTTTACAAATTTCTTTTCATTTTTAATGTTGTAAAGATTACTTTTATTTCATTTCATTTTCCATTTTTATTACGTTATCATTTTGTAAATATGTTATTGTAGTTGTATATAGAAAGATCCCAGTGAAGACTGCCTTGTGTAACTGGGTTTCTAATAAAGTTATCATTATTATTCTAATGTATTGGCGTTGATGAAGATTGTCCTCTGTAAAAATTTGACATAATGTGTGCTTATATTTATCTTTTCATCAACGCAAAGACATTCTAAGACTAACGTTTGAAGCTGCTTTTCCAATTTTCATAAAAAATAAAACTTTTTACTTTGCTCAGACAATAATTAATACTTTATTGATTTATCGATAAGGACTATGACCAGCTTACATCTATAGTCTGCAGAAAAATATAAATATTTACAAGTGGGTGGTGCTTAGGTGTGATATAACTAGGTCTAGTTATAAGTTATAGCCCGATTTTCAATTATAGCACTTTTTTCATTCGTTAACCGCTTTAAACAGCCTCGCTCTTTGAGCTCGGTGTTAACTCATGAACGATTATAAAATTTGCTTTACTGATAATACATGAATTTGTTTTGGATTGATCAAGAATATACATTTTTCAAAAATATGCTATTTATATCTATTTTCAGGAATAATTTACAACGCTTTTGATGATGAAAACATTTTACAAAAAAATTTATTTGACCAATTATACTTTACAGTTTCGCAGGAACGGGAATTTTTCTTGTAGCCTCACGTGGAAATTTGGACCTTAGAATCCACGTGTGTCCAGAATTATCCGCGTTGAATGTTAAACTGACTGATGACGTCTACTGTGTCTGTGGTTGTAGTCGTCAAGAGTTGAATAACTTACCCATATGATCATAATACCAAATGGTGTAAAAAATAATTCATTTTATCTCCAGCAATATTGGGCTCGTTTGATGTTAACACAATTGACTTGATTTATTAACATCAACAAATGGCGTAAACAACAGTACATAAAACAAGCAGTGGCGGCGCAAGCCTCTCGAGACTGGATAGGGAGTAGAGCAGAGCCACGGAGGCAAGTTTTTTGGGCAAAAATCTCATAACTAGATTAAAGATTCGGGCAATATCATATATATTGTGTCCTTCAGTTCCCCCAGCCTATCCCGATTTGTTAATATTTGATTTGGACCTATTATACCAAGTGCCAATTTGGGACATAAGATAATGTTAACCACATCTAAATCTACATAGTGAACATAACAAACATTTTACATGTGTTGCCCAATTCGTTCTACCAACTTGATCCAGACTTAGAAGCATTGAGTAAATTTGCTTTGGAGGCCTATCATTTGGCATACACAATAATTTAGACCAATACTTAATACAATTTGTTATATAAATAACATATAAAGGTTTTCTGCCACATTCCCCTAGGGCAGCAGCATTACATGAGTCTTTGGGCATTTTAAGGCTGTACTTAAAGTATTTTTTTTGAATAGATTCGATTTTGTCAGAGGGCTCGAAACCCCAAATCTCAGATCCATACGTAATTATTGGGACTAGAGCTTTGTCAAAGATTTCATTTGCGGACGATAACGATTTAATTTTATTGCATACAACCTTAAGCATGGTGAAGACTTTTTCTGTTTGTGCTACTAGAGTTTGTTTTGTTTTAGTCAATAATAGTTTAGGTGTGAATACAATGCCAAGATACCTGTATTCTGGAACAGTCTCAAGAGGCACCCCATCAAAAGTCCATTTTTCATAATGTCGAAGTGGCCCACCATTGCGGAAAACAACCACTTTTGTTTTATTTAAGTTGACTTTTGGTTTAAATTTGTCACGGAACTTAACAATACTGTTAATTTGTTGTTGCAGTCGTGAAATTGTATCTGCCACATTTGCTATACCATCTGTAAACATGAGACAATGCTCTGTGACCTGGGCCAGTGCTTTCATTGAGACTCGTCTCAATACACCCTAACACAAAATACATTTATCTCCCCTCATGTTGGGCTCGTTTGATGTTAACACAATTGACTTGAATAGAATTCGCCAACAATCTTCCAATCAAATCAAAACAGGAAAGCAATCAAGCAAATCTACAAGTCGTAAAGCACAATTTTGCTACAAATTCAACAACACAGGCAAATGTTCAAAATCAGATTGCCAATATGCACATATCTGCCAAACGTGTGGAGGGCACCATGACCGACAAGATTGTACCAAACAAAGAGATGCTGTCAAAGCACGCCTTCCAATGCCAACAGCAGTCACAAAACTGCGTTTTTCCATTGTAACACCAATTGATCCCATTAAATTCTTATTGGTTGCATGGTTATCAGGAAAATTTGAAAAGCCTCATAGTACAGGGCTTTACATACGGATTTTTGATTCCTTTTCACGGAATACATAAATCGCTAATTTCGAAAAATTTAATTTCGGCTAAATCTGATGTAAAACATGCCTACATAATCATTACATTATCTCCCAAAAATTTTAAATTAACTAGATTTCAGATTAAAGGCAAATTTTATTTCGATAAAGCTTTGCCAATGGGCCTTTCCAGTAGCTGTGCTTTGTTTGAAACATTCAGCACAGCTGTGCACTGGATAATGGAAACAAAATTCAATGCTTCCTGCGTTCATGTTATTGATGACTTTTTATTCATGGGACCAGCAGACACTGCAATATGCAATTCTTCCTTACAAAATTTTGAAACTGTAGCCTCAGATATTGGCATTCCACTAGGCCCAGAAAAAACGGTTCCTCTTTGTACAGAAATCACTTTTCTGGGTTTGGAAATAAACTGAAAAAATTGCCTGAGGATAAATATTTGAAAATCAAAGAACTTCTTACAGCTTTCCTTAACAGGAAAAAAGTCACTGTAAAGGAATTGCAAAGTTTAATTGGAGTGTTGAATTTTGCAAACTAAAAAGTAGAGGGCTTAGCATACACCCCTGCCTAGTTCCTATACACCATTCAAAAAATTCAGTTAAACCAAACGGTGTTACAACACATGATCGACATTTTGAGTACATATCTCTAAGTACAATTATAAATTGTCCATGGATACCACTTTTTATCAGTGTTTCAAACAGATTTTTATGACGGACAAATCGAATGCCTTACAAAAATCGATAAATAGGCGGATGTGTATTGGACTATAAACTATCTGATCCAAATATTACAATCCGCAACACTTTGCTACTGACTTTTTTATTCATGTGTGGCTGCATTCTTTTGTTGAGTGGTGACATCGAAACAAACCCAGGCCCGACAGGGTCAATTAACTGCCAGTGGACAAGTTGTCTACCCAACAAATGCCCTAACCCATGATATTTTATGGCATAGAAGAATAATATATGCAAACAGATGCAAGGGAAAATTTAACTTAGAAAGATTAGAAAATCGCCAATCCCCCATCTAATTAAAGCTCGAGCCGATAACAAAAAAGCTACTCGAAACTTTCATAAGATCATCATCGACAGCCAGGTTTTCCAACTAGATGAAAACACAAACATAAACCCTAAGCAACCAAAAGAGGGTTATGCCTCTAACAAATCAGAACTATCTTTTCTTTCCTGGAATTGCCAGAGTATCTCAAGACACTATGAAAACTGTGACATACGCAAATACTTATCAAACTATGACATTGTCTGTCTTATAGAAAAATGGCTTTACCAAATACCAAAAGACAGTTTCCTAGAAACCCATCACGCGTATTTTCACTTCAGAAATAAAAGGAAACATGGAGGTGTCGCAGTCTTTATTGCCAAATATATCGACAGCGGTTTCAAAAGAATATATTGTGATTTGGAAGATATTATCATTTTCCAAATTGATAAATATTATTTCTAGCAGACTTTGTAGTAGACGATTCTCTGGAGTATGTCAACGTTGACCGTTTCTATCCAATTGACACTTTTTCAAGTCCAAGGAATAATTTGGACAAAACGTTGAATGCCGTAGACTATTATGATGCAGTAAAAAACAAATTAGAAGGTAAGAGATATGATATTTCATTAGAAATACGCATTTAACTCATCCCAATTATCCAAATTTGCAAGTGGTTAACATCGTGGTGACATATACTCAAAAACAGACAGATACAGGTTTATTAAAGAAATAGAAGTAATGAAGTGTACTTTTTGTGTGGTTAAATAACAACTATAGCAGGTTAACCTATTTCACACTCTAAATCATCATATTGTAGAATTGAATTAGAAATGACGAAATTTGAAAAACAGATGGATTGTCCAATAGACGAATATAAAAATTACATCGAGTCTGCCAATAAAAAAACATATGTATTAATATTTGATAAGATAATGATAATATTGATGGTAGAGATAGTTTTCTCTTTACAACTGATGAAGAGATACGCACGTAAGTGTTGCTTTAAAAGAATTATAACATAGTTCATATTATGTTATTGTTGATCTGTGCTCATTTTATATATATTTCGAAGGGAATCTAAAAGTACCGAGACTGGAGGTACAAATAGGGGGTAAAGAACCAAAGGGGGACAACTGTAGAGGCTGAAAGGGATTCTACAAAATGTTCGAAAAATATATTGATTAAGTGTCCTAAAAAGTCGCCCCCCCCCCCCCCCACCCCACGTCAAACAATATACACCCTTTGACGTGAGATTAATTATAAATTTATTATAAATTTTCAAAACCGTAAAAAAAAATGTATTGTATTTTTTTTAGATGGACATGCTGTTGCTCTTCGTTTAGGAATCCAGTTAAAGAAACTGAATAATCGTGTAAAGCTGGAAATAAAAGAGTACAATTCTTGTTGCGAAATAAAAGAACTTCCATATCCTAATCAAATCACGTTTGATGAAATAAAAGACCGAAATTATGAAGTATATGCTTATATGAGTATTGATACCAAACGATTATTGATTGATCTAATTGAAACTCAAGAGGTGTCAAAGAGGAAATGAAATGTACCGTAGACTGCCGACAGGGTGAAGTAGGCCATTTCGGGTAATTTCTTTCCAGATTTTAGAAAAATCACGAAAAACAACAGATATGACGGACTAATTTACAATTCATCGTACAGAGATGCGTTAAGTATAGCCAGATATTTCACAATTATGTATTTGAACAAAGAAATATATTGGAAAAATAATAGGTGATAGAATGGACGAGGATGATTCTCACTAGTGATGATATTGTAAGAGTTTTACCAGATCCCACCATAAGTAAGAGAGATCATCACAGTTTTAGTGTTAGCTTTGATGGATATAATATCCAATAGTGAATGGAAATTTTCCATATGTACCAAAATTGTTAATTGTTGAATGGTTAATTTTTGTTTACACTTTTATCTGTTATGAATGAAATTTATTTTTGCATGAACACTGTAGCCTACTTTGCATGTATTATGAATTAAAAACTGATTAATGCATTGTTTTAGTATATATTGTAATTATCTGCCTCAATACCAAAAAATATTAACCAATATATGCCTGGCCAACTTCACCCCGTTGAAGGATGAAGTTGGCCACTCGACATTTTTCCAATTGTTTGAAACAGTAAACAAGCAGATCTATAATAATTGTTCTGTAAAGTATGGTTATATCATAATCTTCATTAAAACATAGTAGAACAAAAAAGTGGTTATTTAAAAAACATGAATATTTCCTTCTTCTAATAAAAGTGGCCAACTTCACCCCAGTCTACGGTACTCTTAAATACTTTGAACTCCACCATGACCAACTTCGCTTTAATATCAGAAGGACTGGGTATTGAGTATCGGCTTCAACAAATGATTGCTCTCTACACACCAAATCTAAAACAAACTATCACGGTCGAATCGTGTTCTTTCATGACCTTGTGAATGTTCCATCTGTTAGCCATAAGAGTGACATAACACATAACATTAGGAGATATATCTAATGCACTGTCTTTAGTTGACATTGAAAATGAATTAGAAATGTGCAAAGAAGACGAGGTAGAGTAGGAATACTTTAATGGAAATAGTTATCGCAGCTTTTAGCACATCCGTTGAAATGAGAGATAGGCTACAATTTTACTGTTTCCCTATTACTGTTTCAATTGATTATAACTTGGGCCCATTCTCGTTTTAGGTGGCCCAGGATTTCTTTCGACGTCTCAACATAGTCTAGTAGTAGCAGGTCGAAATTTGTCCTGTCTAAAACATTATTCGCTGTTCTTTCAGTACCCCTCATCCGCGCGTCTTTCACCACATCCGCCATCTTGAGAAAAGCGGATAGCTTATTTCATATGAAAAGTATAAAGTGCCTAAAAGAGTAAGCATAGGCCAACCCTCTCTGGTGCCACACCCGTCATAGATGCTTATCATACACAAAACATATTACAATTTAGTACAATTACAAATAGGAACGCGCCACCAGAATAAATAGCTACTTTTTTTTTTTTTTTTTTTACTACGAATTTTAAAAAGTTCAAGGGACGTAACCAATGAAAATACATTTATCTCCAATTTCAATGGTTCAAGGGACGTAACTGATGAAAATTTCTCTTCTCTAATTTAAAGGGAGGGAACTGACCACAATAATTGTTATATTACGAACAAATATGTGAAATTTGTTCTATCGATAATCGAGAAATTGAATTTCAACGACAGTCAAACATATTTTTGTATCTTTGCAAAATACAACATAGAAAAAAGAAAAGTAATAAATAAGTGATCTGACAAAAGCATTTTCCATTTCTTATCTATTCATGAATAATGAAATAAAGTAAGAATTTAGAGATAAGAAGGAAGAGAATATATTTAGAAATTGTGATAGATCAGAATCAGTCCTGGGATGTTCCTTCATACAACAACTATAAAGATAAATCTTTGATACTAATATATTTAGTTTGTCTTGTAGAAGTTATTTTGAATTATAAAACAAGGGTTTACTGTTATTAAGGCTGAATTTATCTAAGAAACATGCCTTAAATCACCAGATGATCAAGTATAGGGGATTAAATTGTATAAATATACGAAAGCACGAAGCATATTTTAATATAGTAACACTTTTAGTGTTCAAGCTGCCAAAATAAATGACAGTTTTAATTATAATTTGTAATGTGTAACCAAACGAAGAAAGACATTCAAGATATAAACCAAGTTGTCAATTCTGTCTATTCCATTCCAGAAATTTAGATCAGAAGCTCTAAAACAGCTTGGTGATAATAATTTCAGCTTTCGGACACGAATACAGCGGGGTAAGCAATATCAGCAATAGATAACGTTGCTTACTTCAAAGATCAAGGCCAGGAGGTCTAATTGACCATCTCTAGATTCCAAGACCCGGAGCTTGTTGACTTAGCTCCTCTTTTTGGGCTTTAATGTTGTTATTTTATGATCCTTATAGACTGCCCTAGATATCATAGACTAAGATCTAGTCTACACACCTGCCTGGTTTAATCTCAACTAGAATCTACTTTCTTCCCTTCAGTGATCAATGATCAAATGATTTGGTTACACACACTTCATTTCCTTCATCAGTAATGTGGCTATTACAAAAAAGATTGTTATTTTTGATATTTAGCAACGCTTTCTTCTCAGGTTAAATATCAACAACATCTAAACCATACAGTCTTAAAGCATAAATCATGCAAGAATTCAGTTCAATTACTAAAAACCCCATCTTATAATTCAAGCGAACTAAAATCTTCAAGACAAACTAAATAGATTGGTATCCAGGATTTATCTTTATCAATGTTATAGATTGGAAATCGAACGAAAGACTCTGAAGTATCTCAAATTTCTTCTATTGAAAATATTCCCTCTCCTGTCTATTTCAAACTTCTAACTTCCCCATTTCATTCCGTCAGTTGACAGAAAGGATGCGTAAATAAATTAGTGAATACATGAATGTCTATATTGTATTATATTGCAAAATATTTGTAAAACTTCAATTAGGACTTTTATCAAATTTTGTAAAATATAATAAAAATCAGGTTCACTTTTATGCCATTCTTGCTTCCTCATGGATTCGGGTGTTTGGAATATTTTTTCTTATCATAATATAACAATTATTGTGATCAGTTCCCACCCTTGGCAATCCCCTTCTCTCTTCCTTTGAGGGTTTTGCATGTCTATTTTTGGTCTAGATATGGAATTTGATGTCTGAAATTGCATTTTCTTTCAGATTTTGTGAGATGATGAGATTTACATGCAGAAGGATAATCAAACCAGTACCTCAACAACCGTGATCAGATACCAAAGACCTCCTTTAACCAAGCCCAGAAATTAATCGCCACAGCCAACAAAACCTTCCCAAACTCCAAGATCCTCTTCACGTGTATACCCATTTCAAATAAAATCTCGAAGAAAGCACAACAGAACCTCAGCACTCTCAACAACATGATGATGGAGTCCAGTATCAACAGCGCAACAATCTTACCACCCTACGAAGAATTTAGAATTCGAAACATTTGATAATCTTCATTGGTCTCCAGAAACAGCAAACAGCATCTATTTGTTTTGGATACACCAGCTTCAAGCATCGAGTAAGTCTTTAAACTAATTACTGGGGATAAAAATACTGAGAGGCCACCGCTAGGCCAAACTGTAGTTAACTTGAGCCGCAAAATTCTCATACCCCTTCAGCATTCAATCTTAGACCGTGGACTTAAGTTTATTCCCACACCAAAGATAGCTAACTTGAATTATCTCCGACCATCCATTGAACGATTTCAACGAAATCTTAGCTGCACATATTTTTTTCGAAACCACCCCCCACGTGGTGCTACAACAATGTTTATTCCTAAATCCACGTGGACACCCCCTCAGGCCGCCATCCATCCTGAAATATTGAAAGCATTTGCGAGTATGAATAGCCAAACAGTGAACCTTTCTATAACACACGAAAAGCCTAATCTCACACGAGTGGAACGTGAAGCGTTAAACTTATTTAAGAAAGACGATAGCATTGTTATTAAAAAGAGTGACAAAG